CCAGACCTCACCCGTTCACCCCCCCCACGAACCCCACCCACGAACTCCACCCGCGCACCTCACCCACGCACCTCACCCACGCACCTCACCCGTGCACCTCACCCGCAGACCTCACCCACGCACCCCACACGCGCACCTCACCTGCACCCCACCTACGAACCCCACCCACGCACCCCACATGCGCACCCCACACGCGCACCTCACCCGCACCCCACCTGCGAACCCCACACGCGCACCCCACACGCGCACCCCACACACGCACCCCACACACGCACCTCACCCATAGACCTCACCCGCGCACCCCACCCGCGCACCTCACCCACAGACCCCACCCGCGCACCCCACCCATGCACAAGGGCTCAAGGCCCACCACGCAGGGCTGGCCTGGAGGCTGCAACTACAGGGCAGGCTTCGAACCACCCACCTTATCGTGTCCTTCTCTGCCCTCCAAAATGTCCAAAGGGTCTTCCCAGACAAAGGTGGGCGTTGGGGTCCAAGGAAGAGCAGAGGACACAGATCTGAGCCCTGTGTGGCCGAGGAGGGCGTCCCTTCTCCGAAGTATGGGGTCCGTGAGCACAAGGCGAATGGCAGTTCCCCAGCAGGGCTGGCGGCCTAGGAGGCACCCCGGGCTTGGAGAGATCGAGGTAGGTTTCGGTGCCCTCGGGCCGAGCTATTTGACCCTAGGACGTCTGGTGGTGGTCTGGGGACGTCTGATCCCTGTCTGCCGCCTCGCTCAGCCTTCTCGTGCCTTGACCCCACACGCCTAGGCAGGAGGGGAAAGCTGGAGTCTGGGCGCACTTGCTCCTGTGTATGACTCACTCACCCTTCAGTGGCTCAGAGAAGCACACCCGACCCTCCCAGGGCTCTGAGCGCTCCTTCGCACTCTTAGTGACGAGAACCAGCACCGTCCCCATCTCCCCACCTCCAGCCACTGGCATGTCCCAAGTGCAGACCTGCTGGGGGTTCTGGCTGCGAGGATGGGAGAAGAAACCTGCTGAGCCAAGTCCTGCGCCCGCCTGTCGGTACTCTGACCCGGGCCACGTTCGGTCCTTAGGGCCTCGGACACACAAGTGACACGGAGGGAGGCAGGGCTGTGAGGACTGAGCTCAGAGCTGGGTTTCAGAGAAGCGGTCAGTGCGGGGAGAATAGGAGCGCGAGTTCGGGTCAGCCAGCTAGGCCTTATCGCCCCGGCTCCTCGGGAGCAGAGTGACAGCCCTACACTCTCAGCATGGCCGCGACATGGTGACATGGCGTAACTTACACAGGTGGCCTCACAGCGCAGAGCAGGGGCTCAGCAAACGTGGGACGTCTCTGCTGTTAGGATTATTGTTCAGTCTGCCGGTGAAAGCTGCTGGATTCCAAGTGTCTGTGCATTTCTGTCAAATTCATGCTTGAGGCCACCCAGGAAAGGCCCCCTGACGGGTCTCTGTCGCGGTTAGAGCTGGGAGTGACGAATCCTTCCAGTAAGCAAGGTTCTGCCGAACGCAGCTGTGGACAGAGACCCAGAGCCTCAGCTCCAATCGGCCCTTTCAGCGGGGCCCAACCATACGTCTAGAGCAGGGTGAGGCTCTCTGCCCGTCCTGACCAGACATTCACTCTGCCACCATCTCCCTCAGGCTCTGGTGTTTGCCCGCCACCTCAGTGGTACCCCAGCACACCCACCACACCAACACTGAGCCGCTTATCCCGGCCAGATGCAAGTTCTGGAGCAAACCCGGAAGCAGGAGGCTCCTCCTGAGAACTCTCAAAGCAAATACACGTAACGCCAACCTCGAGTCCTGGGGGTCAGGAAAGGTGACCCGCTCATCTCCCAGGCCGTTCCCCACACTCAGATGTGACGCAGAATCCACTTTCGTACCACGGACTCTCAAACTGAGTTTGCAGACTCAGGCCGGCATAGGAATGGGAAGGCCTGGATTGAGGAGCGGGTCTGCCACCACTATAGGATTCAGATGGGCAGGAACGGGGTGGCAGAGAAGGCCCATGCCGGCGGGTCCCAGGAGGAAACAGCAGTGCCGGGAGCTCCCGTAAGGCCCTCCCCAAGAATGATGGAGCTTGTGACGGGGTTACCACCACCACCACCCTCAAACAGCTCGAAGCAAAGACGTTCATTCCTACGCGGTGGCATTGACTCACCATGCTGCTGAGACCAGAGCCAGAGGGGGACGGCTCCCGGCAGGGCCCCAGGGGCTGTCAGAGCCTGGCTAGAGCTCCGTGGTCCTGGTAGGCCCACTGACGGCTTTCTGAGCCTAGGGAATGCCAGGCCCGAATCTGGCTTATCAAGTGGCCAACAAGAAAGTAGCTCAGTGGGGCAGGAAACAGCTTCGACTTGGAAGGCGGTGTAGCCCCCAGCACCCCAGCTCCCGTTCAGCCAGCACCGCCAAGCCCCTGGGGCAGCTCCCTCCTTTTACCTCCCGGAGCTGGCAGAGGGCGGCCAGCAGTGCACAGGGCCCCGGGGCAGACACAGCCTCAGCGAGGACTTCCCCAGCAGCCTTGCCCCTGGTCGGCTGGGGCAGGCGGGTGTGGAGGTCTGTCAGGCTCCCCCTTGGAAGGCTTCGATGCCCAACTCTGGGAGTCTGAGCCAACTCCGGAGGACTCGTGCGCCCCTCACTCCCCATGTACAGAGGGGCAGCAGGACCTGGCCACCCGCCCCAGGTCCCAGCCGGAGTAGCTCTGCCGGCTTGGCCCGCCTCCTTTGGATTTGGCTTTTTCCAGTGAAAAGGAGCCTAAAGCTCTGAGGCCTCCAGTGATTTACCGAGAGCTCTGCTTCCTCCAGCTTCCGGCTGCGGCGACCCGAGAGTCAAGGGAGGAGAGAAGAAACATGCATGGGCAGAGATGAGAACCAGCTGTTTGCAGCCTCGGCTGGAAGGGAAGCCTCCCCCTCACCCGCCGGCTCACGAGATTAAAGGCTGGGCCCCTGAAGGTCTCCCTCCTGCAGTTCAGTCCTCCAGCCCAGCTCCGACCCATCTCACGGACCGCCTCGGTCCTTGGTTTCTGGCTGTGACCGAGGGGAGGGACGCAGGAGGGCTGTCCACCATTTCGCCCCAGACACGGTCCTGCGGCCGAAGCTCCCGAGCCAGCAAGGGAGACTGGAATAAACGGGCCTTGCTGGCCAAGGGGAGGTCTACTGCAGGTACAGGTGGGGTGGGACACTGTGGGGACACAGCCTGCACTCGGCCAGCCCAAACCCAGCCTGGGTGGAAGTGCTCGGTTTCAGAAGACATCTGCGCTGAGCTGAGTTAATCAGTTCAAAGTGGACAAAGTCGCGACTACCTTAGGAGGCTTCGGGGTTCGGAGCAACCCCTCCAAAGCCATGCTACCTGAGTTCAAGACCGGTCTAGCCACTGGTTGCCGCAGCGGGCCGTCCGTCTCTCTGTGCCTCTACCCGCACGCACAGGAGGGACGTTAGTGCTCCTCCCCACAGCTGCTACGACAGGGCCAGGGCGTAAGGAATGTTCAGGAAGCTCACGGCACAGCCTGAGGCAGCGAGCACGGCGTGTGTTTTTAAAAACATGAAAACTTCAGGACCTCTGAGCCCGCTAGGCAGCAGACAATGTGAGGCCTAGGCCTGAGGAGGGTCAGAGTCCCTCTCCTTGGGAGGTCACGACCAGGTGTGGCTGACCCCCCCCCATGCATCGTGACGCAATGTCTTAGGAGGGAAAACGGATTTCACCAGAACCACCTCTCCGAAATCTGGGAGCCAGCATGGGGCCTCCTACACCCATCCACAGACTTCTCGGAGCCCACTTCCCTAAGTCCCTTCCCTCTGCCCCCTCCTTTGTCCCCGCGCTGGCCCCTCACCCCTCTCGGACGGACCAGTGCACACCTCCAGGCCCCCAGGCAGTGCGGGCTGCCGCTCACACCGTGTTCCCGGCACCCAGATGTGTCCATGGCGGCTCTCAAGTCATCATTTCGCACAGGGTCCTGTCGGCTCTAGAGAAATAACCAAATTCCTCGGCACGGCAGAGCTCTGTCCACTCCCAGCTCTCAGCCCGCGCCCTGCAAACACCTCCCTCCGCGCTCTCCTAGTCTCCTGCGCACGTGCCGCTGCGTCTGGGGGACAGCCTCTCTTGCTGTCCACCAGCCACCCCGCTTCACCAGCAGTGCCCCCATCACGAGTGCTGCGCGACCGCCCTCACTCCCCCGGGTCTGCTCCTCCTCAGAGTTCCTGCAGGTGGCGTCCGTCTCCACGATGCTGGGCCCCCCGGGAGCAGGACAGAGCACCCCACTTCCTGCCTGAGCGCTAAAGGGAACAAGAGAATGAAACGAAGCCTAAGGGACTCACCCTCCTCTCTGATGAAGCCACGTGGCAGCCACCCGCTTACCCTGCGGGTGACCAGACAGCGAGCTTCTCAAGAGTGAGCCCCGCATCCGGCAGACGTGGCCGCGTGGGCACAGGCCTGGGGGCACGGGCTCAGACTGCCCACGGGAGGGACACCGCGTGAGACTGACGGCACGGGCTAACCGAAGGTACTTTCCCTTTTGTGTCTTCCACGAGATTAAAAGCTACTGTAGGCAAGACCCACGCCTCTTTACCCCTACTTCTGTTACGCGCAAGTCAAATCCTTGCACGGCAGCAGCTGGGTACCCTGCCACGTGACACACTGAAGGGTGAGGGCTGTGTGGCGAGTTCTCCTCGGCAGGAAGCAGCGGACGTGGACGAGGACAGGCCAGACCAGGACTTCACAGCAAAGACGGCCCAGCCCGCATCCCACTGGCGCTCCCAGGCTCGTCCACTCAAACTGGAGCTGGCCTCGTTCCTTCTCAGGCCACCACGACGAGGCTAGAATTTCCAGGAAGAAACTTTCACTAAAATGAAATGGAAAACAAGCGCAGCCTAGCTACGAGAACACATATCAACTATCGATTTCTGAGAGAAGATTTAGAACTTGCTTGTGGCAGCAAACTGGAAAAACGTAGTCAGCGACTCCACGGCCTCTCACCCAGCACTGCCTGCCACGGCAGCTGCTGCCATGCGCGACCACCGAGCACGTGCGTGGCTGCTCTGGACAGACACGAGCTGTGAGTGCAAGACCCGCGCTGGACTCGCGGTCACACCACGGAACACGGATACACCAATGCGAACACGTCCATGTTACATGCCCCAAACAATCATGTTCTTGATATAGTGAAATAAATTTGTTATAAATATTTTTTAAAAGATGGCATTTGAATGGCCAGCAAGTGGCCTGGTGGTTAACGGTGCTGGACTCCCACATGGCCGACCACGGTTCAAGTCCCGGACCTGGTGGCTTGCTTTCTCATGTTCCCCTCTCTCTCTCACTCTGTCCCTCTCTGGTCAAGTTAAAATAAATAAATAAAGTTAAATAAAATAATTCTTTAAAAATAAGAGACAGCATTTGAGCTGGATGTTGGCAAATGAGAGCAGCCCGAGCCTCAGAGGGTCAGGGCTCTTGCTGCACGACTCTCCCCACAGAGAGCAGCACCGCGAAAGGCAGTGACTGGGCGTCAGCTCAGAGCTGTGAGGCCTCCTGATAAACGAATCCCGCGACAAAGGAACTAGGGAGCGAGAGGGGGCAGAAAGGGCTTCCTGCCGCCGCCGCCGCCCCTCTTGCCACCCTGGAATAGTTCATAGACGAGCCTAGAGGGCTCTCAGCCCAGAACGATTCCTTGCGTCTCATGTTTCTTCTCTGAGTTAGAGAGAAGGGCTAGTTAAGCCGTGGGGAAGCCTCCTCTAGACCTGCTGCTTACCCTTCCTGATCCTAAAACAACCAGATGAAGGGCCTGAGAGTGCGCATCTGAAACCCCAGAGCCCTGGAGCAACCCTAGCAGCCTGGAGCTACAGGGAGCTGGCGGCCCGGGTCTCAGTGCCTGGGGAATCACACCCCACAGGATGGCATGGCCCCTGGTCACTGATGCTGTGGTTCTCCACGTAAACAAAGTGGTATTTACTGCTTCATCAACATTATTTTCATTTTCAATATGTTTCATGAAATAATTATATGAACATTTCTAGCACAAAAGTAAGCATTATTTACTCCGGAAATCCATCTTTGAACCTAAAGGTTATCGAAGCCATACCAAATATATCCAAATTCGAATTCCCGACAACACCGGGACCTCCTCTAATGACTTCTCAGCGGCTCGCTAACACTGTGCAGTCTCTCCCAGACGCACTTCTGGAAACAGCACACCCACCCATCAGAGCCGATACCATTCATACTTCTGCCGTGTGACCCTGACCCTCAGACGTACCTCACTGGTCCAGAAATAGGAGCCTGACTCACTCAGGGAACTGGCTTTGGGATGAGAGCTCACCCTTCTGTGTGGCTTCAGTGTAAAGTTAAAGTCGGGAGCTGAGAATCTGCCCTTTTTCCTTCCTGTAGACTGAAAAACAGAGGCGGGTGGCGGGCAGGTAGGAAAGAGACACCCACGTAGGGACCAAAGTCACTAGGCAAGAGATTGGATGTCACAAAGGAGGAAAAGAGTAGCCCAAGTCACCCTCTCGGTTTATAACGGTAATTAAAATTGCAGTGCTGACACAGGACTAGAACACTAGAACAAGGTTCTGGAGAGTGAAGTGAGCGTGCGCGTCATGGCCTCCTGCGGGCTGGACAGGCCAGGTGAGCCTGGCCTCGCTGAGACCACCCAGCTGGGGGCCAGCAGCGGAGGAGGCGCTAGTGAAGGGGTTCAGGGGCAGCTGAGTTCAGGGGAGCAGCTTCTTTAGGAGCGGACGTAGCAGCAGGTCCCCGCCGCCCAGACTTGCTCGCCTGTGTGTAAGGCAGCTGAAAGGTGGGTGTGGTGGGGCAGATGAAAGGAAAGATGCGCTTTGCTGTACAAACAGCTGCTCACATAATGCCATTGTGAAAATGCAGGCCATCTTGGATGGAAATCT